TTTCAATGCAGGTTGCAAACCTCTGCTTCTTTGGAGTTTTCAACAGAGGCATTTTTATTATTTGTAGTAATACTTTAGTTTTCGGACGACTCTTATTATAAAATTAATAGTAAATAGTATATTTTTATGTACGTAATTGTTTAGATGGCTCTATTATTACCACAATCAGTTGCAAATGTGCACCTATAAAATAACCTTCTTTTACTTCGTTTTTAATATTTTATGAAATGACTAGTGGCCCGCACTCGCTTCGCTTCGGGGTAGAATTGATCAAAACCCTTTCTTAGCGGATGCCTACGTCATAACATCTACCTGCATGTCGAATTTCAGCCCGATCCGTCCAGTGGTTTGGGCTGTGCGTTGATAGATCACTATGTCAGTCAGTCACCTTTGACTTTTATATATATAGATGTATAGAAGCGAAACTGTCACATGTAATTTTTTTGTTCATCCAGTCAAAAGTTTTACTTGAATTAATCTAATAGACAGCACACACACCGGACAATCAGACAGACATATTCCGACTGCTAAGTTTTAATTCGCTTCCTATTAATAAACGTCATAGCAGCCATTTGACTTAATACTTCGCATCTTTGCAAAATCTTATTAATACCAGCAAAGCCTCATCTAATATGCAGCGCTTGCTATTGGAGTCGCGCCTGCCTTGCATGTTTAAAACCTTATAGTAGCATCAATCAATAGCTAGACAGTGTGATAATCAACAATCACCGATCATTTGGAGGCATTAGCGGGCACCACTCCAATTAACCAGGATGTTTCTCGCGGCGGCATGTTCTGTGCTCCCGAACCGTTTATTACACTAAATAGATATCGATGGAGTATTAATGCGAGCAGGTGTCGTAACTAATCAGCCCTGGCCGGTGCAGTTAAGGGCCATGCACATTATACACGCGTCGTGACAACGAATCGTGCGTGGTGCGACGTATCTCGTTGTCAAATATTTTGTCAAGTCTTTTCAAATATTTTGAAAGTGAAACATCGTTACCGTAGCGCCATGCCAATAGTTGTGGTGCGTGTGTGCGTCGTCCAAAGAGGTAAAATACAAATACGGTAAATTATTTTAACAGTGTTCGTTAAGGCATAAAGGGACGGAAATATTTTCTTTTAATCTACTATTGCCATGTTAGGAGAGACTGAAATCTGGTTGCTGCTCGAATTTCGCGCACGCCTTTCGGAAATGTTGTAACCTCCAATTTAACTAAGACCTGTCATATTATAACATCACATGACGAGCTCGATGGCGTAGGTGATGAGCGCATTCGGTCGGCGATCGTAGAAGTTAGGCAAATTTCTCAATGGCCGGTCAGTCGATGTGTGTCAGTGTTACCAAAAACATTTTTTTTTGAAGTTATACTTCTTTAGGCGCGTTATGAAAAAATGATGAGAGTGAAATTTTAAGATGCGCGCGCATCACTGTAACACAAAAAATTAACAGCATGAAGTTGGTCGCTTTAGCGACCAACTTCATGCTGTTACTTTTGTGTTTACCGCACATTAAGAAAATCTACCAACAAAATAGAAATAGAATCTCTATTTTGTGGGTGCTAACGACTGCATTGTGAAGGCCTATCAAAAGTATTTATTAATCTGGAACAATGGAACCAAAGCGCGATTAAGGAGACTACAGCGCCATCTCTTGACCATTGGTGTAGTAGAACCAAAAACCACATCTTTATTTTTTGTAATAAAGTAACAAAAAGTATTTATTAATCTGGAACAACGGAACCAAAGCGCGATTCAGGAGACTACAGCGCCATCTCTTGAACATTGGTGTAGTAGAACCAAAAACCACATCTTTATTTTTTGTAATAAAGTAACAGTTATAGGTATTCATATTTATAATATTTATCCACATGTTTCTAGTTTGTATATTCGGAATACGTGTTTGAGTTTCATACAAGTGCAAATCACATATGTTCTAATAAATTATATTCAGTAGCGATTTTAATTGAATATTTTGATTTTTTTTTTCAAATTAAAACTGAACTTTTCCAGACTTTTTATTAATTTATTGTAATTAATTATTGCAATTAAAAACTAATTTTTAACGATGCCAAAGAAGGATAACTTCTCACGCGCCTACATAAGTACACGCACCCATTTTTTTTAAAACTTTGGTGCTTCAGAAGGTTTGTTAAGCCGTTGGTCCCGGCTTGATCTGCAGTGGTTACTACTCACCAGGCGCATTAGACCCGCGTGGTGGATCTTGGCCTAATCTCCCTATTCCTTCCATAGGGAAGGCCTGTGCCCCAGCAGTGGGAACCTTAAAAGTCTAATGATGATGGTGCTGATAATAAAATTACTAATAGTAAAAATTGTATCGGGAACGTTGATGATAAAATTACTAATTTTAATAAAATCGTATCGGGAACGTTAATTATTAACCACGATTGTCGTACATCTCAATGACGCTACGCCTCTGTTTTGTCACTGTGATGACTATGCACGAGTCTTTACATAACACCGCCGCAAGATACAATTAATGATAGTGATGCGATACGGTAATGAAATGCGTGTGGTAGGTACAGTCGACGCCACGATAGTGGACACACTTGTACTAGTTGCGTTACGAATATCGCGTTTATTACTTGGGAATAAAGGCGTTGCCAACTTAAATTATATCTGCCGTTGGACGTGACTTTACAGAAGCCTTTAATAGTTTCAGTGGGATGTCTTTTTATTCATTAAAATTCATTAGAATATAATCATCATCCTAATAACGGCTTATATCAGAATGATCAGGCCTTTCCTGTGGGTGGAATAGAGGGCTTATAAATATAGGTAATTTATTAAAATAATCAATGGAATATGACTATTATTTGACGACCTCCGTGGCCGAGTGGTTTGTACGCCGGGTTTGGTGTCGCCGACTCGTGAGGTCCCGAGTTCGAATCCCGGTGGGGGCAGATGTTTGTGTGATGAATACGAGCATTTGTACTCCAGTCATGGATGTTTAATATGTATTTTTATATAAATATACTTATTTATGTACTGTGTATGTATTATATCCGTTACCCTAGCATCCCATAACACAAGCCTTACAGTGCTTATTTTGGGGCTAGGCTAATTGGTGTGAGTGTTGGAAATATTTATTTATTTTATTTATTATTTATTTTTCACGTCACATTATAATTACAATGTGACTTAGGTATTATATACATAACATAAAAAAAAACTGTAAGTAATAAGTGCAAAGTTGTTTTCCTCTCGAATCGGTGCGCCTATCTGGGAAACTAAAACACGATCTTGTGTTAAGATTCTGCATTCACAGCTCAAGCTTCTTTGAATTTTGGTGGCCGCTTGCCATACCCTTTTTATAGACCTAAGAATACTAAGGCTCACTTACACCAAAGTACATAAGCTTATTAATCATGTTCAAGCATAATTCTATCTGCCTTTGAATTAATGGCCACCGTAGACGTCCAAGTAATTTGATCAAACAGTTTGATCAAATTGGCATGCCATGCTTAAGTGTAGGGAAATTTGATTAAAATAAGTTGTCAATTGGCATGAAGAAATATGAATTTTTGAATATCTATTTGATCAAACTGTTTGAAACAGCATGTTTGATCAAATTACTCGAACGTCTGTGGCGGTGGCAATTACATAATTGACAAAGGCTAGCTTGAGTGTTGATTATGATTGATCATTAATTTGAATTAACAATGTTGCCTGAGAATGAACTTAAATTATATAAGGCAACAAATCATTTAAAAAAGTTTTAGACTTGACAGTGATAAGAACGTCATTAAGAGCGATCAAGAGAGTCGAACGCAAGTGATCAATCCAGGTATTCGCGTGACTTGCGTGTTTCCCAGCCGTCAGTCCATGCGGTCACGCGTCACCCGGTCATTGGGTCACGGCGTGACCCGAACTAACACGGTAGACCTGCAAATACTTAAGATAGAGTGCCGAGTAGGGATGGCGATTCTTTCCGAAAAAGATCGATTTTTAAAACGATTCGAATCGTGACCTAATGAATCTATCCACCAAAAAACGTACCAACAAGATCTATTTGTGGAAAATCGATCTTTTTTTCAAGTTTTAGTTTATAATGTAATATAAATCTATTTTTATCAAAAACAAGATACATATTATAATTTAACGATCTTTTATCAGTAAAATCAGGCAATTCGATGAAATGTAATATTTTATTCAAAGATTACAAGCAAACGTACCTTTTTTTATTAAAGAGGGGCGAAGGAATCTAAATATACAGCCATCTCGCGAGTTTTTATTAATTAAACCTTTATCCGGCAGCACTCTTATAACGGGTACATTCAAATAATTGTAAATACTTTTTTGGTTCATACCAAAAAATAAAATAAAATCGAATGTCGATTTTTAAGGGTGAAATATCGATTCAGTACTACATATCGATTTATGAAATCGATCTTTTTGGCTCCAAAAATCGATTCTTCGATTAATCGATCTCAGATCGCCATCCCTAGTGCCGAGACTGTCTCTAAACTATGTATATCACTTAAACGCATTTTAATATGACGGACTTGCGATTTCTTTGCCGCTTCATCATCATCATCATCAGCCTATTAATATCCCCACTACTGGGGCACAGGCCTTCCCTTTGGATGGAATAGGGAGATTGGGCCATGACCCACCACGCGGGCCCAGTGCGGATTGGTGGGTGCTAACGACTGCAGATGCAACCGGTACCAACGGCTTAACGTGCCTTCCGAAGCACGGAGGAGTTCGAGATAGTAAATTTTTGGTCACCCATCCAATGACCGACCACTGCGAAAGTTGCTTAACTTCAACGATCGCAGCCGGACGAGCTAACCAGTTGCGCCATCGAGCTCCTTTGCCGCTTAATTTCATACAACTTGCGCTTTAACAATAAAACACGTTACCGCGAAATTTCGGAAGCTTTACAGATTTTTTAAGACTCGCCACTTGTGTTAAATGTTTGTAATAAGTATGATATTATAATTTTTAAACTCGATCAACTGATTTTCTTCTAAATGGTAAATTATGAAGAAGGTATGCGTGTAAATGTATAAAAAAAATATAGACATCATCAAAAAGTCTAGAAACAAAAACAAAGTTTTCTGATATTTATTTTTTTTCTTAATTCATGTGTAAAAGTGATATACCCTTATTTTTTTATAGAATAACATTTGTAGTATAGAATTTATAAATAATGTGGAAAATTCACCAAGTAAACGAACGAAGGTATCAGTTACCTACGTACGTGAATTTCGTACGTAATCCCCAGGCTCTTTTGATGAGTGTTTTATATGAAGTTGAACTTTATAAAATGTTTTATTTTTATTTTCCAGGTCCTCCCGGACCGCCTGGGAAAAGAGGCAAAAAAGGCAAAAAAGGTGATCCTGGCGATCCTGGGCCACCGGTAAGTTGAAAAAATTATCCTACTTCTTTTATTATTTTATTTTTTGCCATACGCTACTTAGTTACTATATAGTAGGATTAGCAAAGAATTTATTTATTTAATATTTGTTTTCGCTTATGTAGCTTTTTATTTATTTCTTTCACAGGGTATAACAGGAGCGCCAGGGAAAAATGGATTCCCGGTACATATATTTTTTTAATTTACTTATTTGTATTTCATTTTCTACTTTTGTAAATACTCTATATTTTCCTATCTTTTTTACTGAAAGTCTTTTCAATCCATATACAAACACACTATTACCGATACAGATTTTGAAGCTATCTTGTCAATCAATCTGCTTAATATAGAGAATATGAGCGTTATTTTACCAAGTCTAGCAATATTGGCTACCAAATGAAATCACTTTAATGTTTTTTCTCTTACATTATCCAGTATTAAGGATTCATTAAAATGATAGTACGATATTGTTACTAGAAGGACATACATTACTTCCATTCTATTTTTCTCCTCCCCTAATTAACAAAAAGTGTACGTCACTATTTTCTTTGACGTTTTTGTGGTTTCTAACTGTATATCTTTTGCATAAATCCGGTCCAATATTCCGACGATAGCTTTGAGTCTTAATCAGTTTAGTTATTTTAAAAGTCAGTTTCATGTGAGAAAGAAAATGAGAGATTAATTTTGCCCACTTTCCTCACTAGCAGCAAGAGTCTGCTACTATTCACTTTGCGGTGTGTGGTCTTTGTTAATGGTGCTCTTAAATCGTCATGTATGGGTTAAATTTAAACCGGGTGATAAAAAATGACTATGTTGATGGTTCTCTGTTCTGTACTGGCGGCGTCACGTTTCAGGGGAGCAAGGGCGAGAAAGGCGAACGCGGTTTCATGGTAAGATCTCACATCGCCTTGTGCCCCGCTCCCAACAACTAACAATACGGGATCCGTATAACATTTATTAAAAAAAAACCTACGTTATTCGATATTGATACCAATTCCAATATTTTATATATTTTTCCTTTGCAATAGTAACAAATCTTTATTTGACTGGCAACAGAAAATGCCATTATAACTTTAGTTGAAGATAATATGTTTGCAGTATCAATAGCATTTTTATACTATAGTATAGATGGATAAAGATACTTCTGCCGTAAAACCTCGATCACACGGGACGAGTTTACAAGCTACAAGCCAGCGAGTTCACTAGCAGCTTTATAAAATCGCCCTTTCATCGGCTTTTTTACCATCTGCTACTCGATGATACGGGGCGAGTTTACAAGCTCTAGCGAACTCGCTGACTTGTTGCTTGTAAACTCGTCCTCTCTCATCGAGGCTATAGGATATGTATGAATAGCTAAATAATTAAAAAAATCTATAAAGGCAATGAATTCTTTAGATTTGTACGGATCCCTGTAGTATAATAACATACCCGTAGAGTGTTGTGCAACTGCAACCGGGCTTGTAGTTTGAGTTGTTAACATTCTTAACTTAGCTACAAATTATTAAAAGTAACAGTTCCCTTTTAACTTCATCCATAGACAAACTAATGGGTGGTGTGAATCTTGCCAATTTTCTGTACTTTATCGCATGCCTTTTTCTAACTTTCCCAATCACTTTTCCTGTTTGTTTCTGTCATAATTTTTAATACACTCCTTTAGTTCTATACTTTATCTAAAAACACTTTCTATATTTCTTTTTTAAAACCATTTTGTTTTAAGCACTTGTCTTATAATTAATTTATTCATAGTTAGATGTGCGTCTTAGATAAATTGCAGCAACTTATATTTGCCACAATATCCAAGACATCCAAGAAATTATCTTCGGCGCAGTATAGAATATAACAAGTATAGAATAAATTTAATATGAGTGACAGATTACCAATAATACAAAGATTTTAATCTTTGCAGTAATAGATAACAATTTGTAGTGGATAATAGTGCATTGCAAAGTTTTTATCTCAGAAATTAGAGATACCTAGCCATTTTTTATTAATTTAATGAAGCAATAATAACCAATGCTAATAGGTATATTTCATGAATAAATCATGAAAGTGTATGACTAAAATAATAATAAAATTATATTTATTCATTTACAGGGACCAATTGGGCTAGATGGACCCAAAGGTGATCCGGTGAGTAATAATACCTTTATTAAATATGAGTATTAATTAATACTTGAGAGTAAGGTACCATATTAACAATTTAATGGAGGAAAGACTGAAGCTGAACACAAAATTAAATTAAAGATGACAGTTTAACGTTTCTGTGATTCCAAAGTGGAAGTTAGTAGCCTAGACACTCGTGTTATGGATCTCGTAATAGATTTTACTTGGTTGGACACTACAACTTGAAAGACTTTATAAACTGGAATGCAAAATTGTTAACTAAGGAACTCGGAGTACAGGCGCAATGTATCCATTCCTTTTCATTGTTAGTTTTGTTTCTTCTGCATTGTCATCTTGTCTTATAATCACTCCATTAAGTTTATTGATTGCAAAAGTTACACAAATCTCGCAATCTTCACTTTGAGTGTGTTTGCTTCCAGGGTCGATCCGGAGATAAGGGACAGAAGGGTGAACATGGGAGTCCAGGGTTTGATGTCTTCTCGGCTGTCAAGGTACTAACTTTTGGTACCTAACCTACTGTTGAACTAAAACTGCCTTATTACAAATTATAGATTAAAGTTAAACTTGGAATAAAACTGAACTGGTACTTTTGTTTGCTAAAAAGAAGACAGAGACAACAATAGGTCTAAACCAAGACTAACTTTAGTCCGCGTTTTGGAATAAGGCAGAAAGAATTTTATTGATAGCCAATTTAAGATTATCTTTAAGTTTAGAATAGTTGGTTGTCTTTTTTAACATTAATCTATCTCCCTTTCGAGGCAAAATGTTAATTTTTTTCCGACATCCACAAACTTGGTGAAAAAATCTCGTAGCTATAATTAAAGATGACACTCAAAAATTTTCCACTACGAATCAACCCAAGATCTTAAATGCTCAGAAGCCACCGTTTCTCACTTTAGCTTACTAGTATATAGAAATTTGTATTTGTGAAGCGTTAATAGTCATAATATTTTTTCCAAATTACCCGCAGGGTGTGAAAAGATCAGTGGACAACTTTAAAATAAGTCCATACACAACAGCCGAGATCATAGCAGTTAAGGTACTGGAAGAACACGACTCAGTAGTAGTTAGAACTTGCCTCGCTAAAACCAAGCGAGCAATTTCATTCCGTATGCTTAATTAGGAATTATTTGCTGCTATTTTATGTCTCATGGTGGTGAAGCGGTGTTGTCGTTTGATCGTTATAGCTAGTTTTTGGTTTAATTTATTTTTTTGGCTTACGGCACTGTGTTGCTATTGTAGACCGATTCGATGCCAGTTTCATATGAATACGGAATTTTAAGTTAATTAGCCTTATTATTATATTTACGAAAGGTTAAAAAATATTATTGTAGATGTCAAAGACTTACTACTAAGTACACAATACTTTAATTAACTATATAATAAATATAATTTTGCAATACATTGCACAGCTGTTGCTACAGTCACACAAATAAAATATTTTTACCTTCCTTAGTGACTTGAAATGAAGAAAATGTATACTATTTCTTAAATTATATTTGAACTACCTAATAAAAAAATCTTGACCAGATTTAGTTTTGTGCTAAATTGAATTGAACCTAAATTGATGTGTGAGTTTAGAGGTTTAGAGTCAACTGTCCGTTTACAACATACAATGGTAACGTCACTTTAGTAACTTTATAGAAAGGAGAATCAGTTTTTTTTCACCAAAAAAATATAACCCTTAATAAATAGAGAAGTCCCGCCATAAAAATCAAAACATGTTGCTTAAGCGAAAATCACTCGGTCCGCGGTAAATATTTTTGCTTAGCAAAACAACAAATCATATGCTAAATAGGAGGGCGTAATCGCCATTCATGTTGAAATAGCACAAAATTTGATGTTACTTCAGCGTTATTAATAAAAATCTAAATTAATATTAATAAAAATTGAGTTGCTTCAGCGCCAAAAAAGTACTCAAACTTTCACGAAATAGATTTACGCAGAAAAAACCTGATTAAAATGATATATACAACTCATTTTTGACCAAAGTGGCAAATAAGCGAATTTGCCTTTTCCACTGTCGATAAATTAAGTGCTTTTATATCGCCAACGAAAGTAAATAATAATTTATAAGTGCTTACTCTGGTCCTTAATATCAATACTTTTATTATAAATTCAACTTTCCTAGTGGCTTGATATTTAGCACTATGCAAGTAATTTAATCTGGCATCGAATTGGTTTTAACTACCTGGGTTGTTACCAGTGCCGTAGTCAGAATGCTTGTTTGTGTCTGTACTGATGGTGAGTGCGCACAGGGTCTGCAGGCGGCAGGGCACAACATCTCGGCCCAAACCATCATCCAACTCAAGGTTAGTTGCTTCTGCACGGACAATGCATGCCTCTTCAACTACATACATGGTTGCCATTATTAAAGCCTGCGCAGACAAGTGACTTTTGTGCGGGGACTTTTTTGCCCGCAAAAATAGATTTCTTACAACTACATCTAGTAATCATCATCATCATATCAGCAGCACGACGTCCACTGCTGAGCATAGGCCTCCCCCAAGGATCTCCACACCAATCGGTTCTGCGCCACTCGCCTCCATCGGCTTCCCGCGACCTTTACAAGATGTCTGCCCACTGAGAGTCGTCCTGTGCGTGGTTGCCATTCACGAACCTTTCAGCCCCAACGGCCATCGGTTCTTCTCGCTACGTGACCCGCCCACAGCCACTTCAGCAGAGCAATCCTTCGCGCGATATCGGTTACTTTGGCTCTCCTATGGATTTTCTCATTTCCAATTCTATCGCGTGGGGAAATTACCGAGCATCGCTCTCTCGATTGCTCGTTGTGTAACCTTGAGCCTTCTTATGAGACCCGCAGTAATGGATCACGTTTCGATTCCATAGGTCAACACTGGCAACATTCAATGGTCAAAAACTTTTGTCTCGAGTCAATGAGTTAATTTGGACGCAAAGATCTTCCGTAGCTTCCCGAACGCTCAACCGATCTGGATACGACGAGAGACCTCTTTCTCAAAGTTGACTTACCTTACTGGTATTGTTGTCCCAGGTAAACGTAATGGTCGACAACTTCGAGTGTAGTGTTCCCAATTTTAGATGGAACGGGTATAACATGGGCATGTGACATAATTTTTGAGTACATGGAGAGACCCGATAGGACAGAAGTACTCGGGAGTCCCCGAACGAAATGAAACTCATGTGACAAGGTGCAGCAACGAACACAGCAAACTTTAGTCAGCGGTGTGCTCTCGATCCGATTTTTCTTCACAAATAAGATACTTTTGTCCTCCGCGAACAAAAGTCCCTGGTTTGCACAGGCTATTAATGTTTTCCTTTTTCTGTAATCAGTAATTATTTCATGTACTAATATATCTAAATAACGTGGTCTCATCAACCACCATAGTTGTTTTTAAGTGTCTTTCATCAGTTAAAACTATATCTGCTACATTTTTTAAATTAATAGCTTGAATATAAAATAATAACACCCTACTAATTTATGAACTATCCCCAAAAAGTTGCTTTTGAAACATTAACACCATTGTATGCTTGAACTGATTAATTTGGTTTAATTTTATTTCATCCCACTATAAAGTTATTTTAAATTAAAATTGATGAATACTAATATTTCTATTCCTAGTTCATACACGATAATTACTACTTATATTTTCTACTAATCCATACCTAATAATTATTACCATTACTACTATATTCTTTTTTTACCGATTATCTGTAAAAAGACCTACTTACAACATTAATTTAATAACAGGGTGAGCCTGGCGAACCAGGTCCCCCTGGTCCGGCAGGACCACAGGGTCCCGAGGGACTACCAGGGCACGACGGACGAGTGGGACCAGCGGGAACGGGGGGACCACCCGGAGTCCCGGGTCCACCTGGACCAATTGGACCCGCAGGACCAATCGGCCCTTCAGGTCCATCGGGTCATAAGGTATCCTTGCTTAAAATAAAAATAAGTAGATATTACATACCTACACGTATTATTAACTCAATATTTATGAATATCGTAACATTTTGATATATGACTACAGATATTTGGGCACCAAAGTATCAAATCAGTATGACACATAACTTTGTACATTAATTTGGTATAAATATCACACTTACAACAACATTTCACATTAGTAGAGCCCAATATATCCAGAACGTGAAACTAATCAGAATTAACTGAATATAAAAATATCAATTCGTAATTTTATGTCAATGAAAAGTTAATAATAATCATTCAAGACTGTTTAAATGTCTATCTATCTGTTAATGATTAAAGCTCTAAAGTCAAAATATTTTTGCCAAAAATGATTCCAAATTTTTTCGACTATGTAATGTAATCTTAAATCCAAATTCTTATCTACAGGGTGACAAAGGCGATAAGGGCGAACGCGGTTTCACGACTACACTAAAGGGGGATGCATTCCCCACGGGGATCATCGAGGGACCTCCAGGCCCGCCCGGACCGCCCGGTAACCAAACGAACTACCCACAATTACTCGTTGGCATGTCGCTTGGGCGCCACTGCGCTCTAACACACCACAGAGTCGTTTCTTTGATCACGTTGCACTTAAAATCCTAATGATAATATTTTGAAAATATAGATACCTCTTACATAATATTTTACCCTTAGTAATTTTATATATTATCAGGCATTTTAATTGAAGAAGAATTAATAAAAAAAGAAGTAGAAAACGTATCTGTGTTAAAAAAATATATAACGAAAACTAATCAGATATGGTGCCACGAGAGTGACAGTGTAATATAGAATTTAAACTTGGCCGAAATAATAACATCCAAAATGTAATAATAATATATATATTTTTTTTTATTATGAATATATAAACTATAAATTAACGTGATCAAGAGAAAGACACCATAAAAAATGTTAACGAAAATACATACATTTACTTCAAACGATTCATAAGAAAAAAAATATTTTGTGGCGTGTATGTGTATTCGTTAGATAAGCTTTAAGTAGTTCGGAAATACGTAGATTAATTTATTTTTCCCAATTTAACCTCACAAATGCTAGTGCAAACACTGATTGTTAATTTTTTTGCGTAGATTAGATGGTTGCGGATGTCCTATTTATAGGACAGGATTTACAGGCAGATAACTTTTGAGGTTTTAGTTTTTAGACAAGTGTAAGTTTTAGTTCACAATAAATTTGCTGCTTATCAAATTAAACATTGAGTGCACAAAGGGATAAGTACTCCAAAACATCGCCTAATATTGGTCTTATATAAAATTTAAAATACCCAAGATAGATTTATGATCTAAGATCCTGAAAAGTGCTCTTTATATCATTAGGGACTAGATATAAATAGTTTAAAACTTGAGAGAACGGAAGGTCAGACTTGCTTTGGAAGTCGCCATAGGCACGCGAGTGCAGCAGCATTATGGTTGAAGGAGCGGAGGGTGCGCGCGGGGAGCGGGGCGAGGCGGGGGCCGCGGGCCCTCCCGGCCCGCCCGGCGACAAGGGCGCCCGGGGCAAACGCGGAAAACGGGTAACAACAGAAGCTTGTATATCGCCCGCCGCCGAAACAAATACTGTTTCTTAAACTACCCTCCACTGATTATTGTCCTTTCATGGGTGGTTTCCAATATCTTATCCCTAAGGATGACGATCCACAAGGATCGGTTAAGCCCCTCTTTTAGTGATAAAAGATGAGCTTGAATTTAGTTAATAACAACGAAATGCAATATATATATTTCAGGAATTTTATTATAACAGTATAAAAACCAAGTCTGCTTAACCCAAACCTTCTTCTCTCATGTCTAAAAAATCTCTTGTCTTGTAAAAAACTTATATAATTCAGTGTGGACAGGTTATTGGAAACACCCTGAAGTCTTCTCTTCTACGATACTTTCTTATGTCAAATTTCAAACCAAATTGATAAAAAGATATATATCATTAAGTAGTCCTTTCCGTTTGATGATACTTTATGCTGATCCTCCGCAACTGGCGTATCTAATACATACCAGAGAATCAAGAATTTTCTGTCTGTTAGCTTTTATGAGGGCTTTTATCTAATAGGAAAGCATGAGTGCTGTGTATTTTATGCTTGCTTCTGCATTGTGTATAACGTTATGAAGCATGAATTTTTCTCATTGCATGCTGGTTAACTCGTAGACGGTGTCGGTACAAATGACAGCTAACATCAGTAGTGTGCTTAACTTGTTCGTGAGCACCACGGGCTTGTGTACAATAGAGCTTCACCCTGGGACACGCTTCATTAACACACGTATGTTCAGGTAATTGTAATTCAAGATTTTTTATTTATAGTTGAGTTTGTAAAAAGTAGAGCACAGACACAGTATTTTACTGTGGCCGTGTTCATTATGCTTTGTATTATTGTATTTTTGCATTGAGTAAAATGGCCTGTATTAAAATAATCAGATAAATGGTACCTTCTTAAAAGTTAGACAACAACACATTTGACATTGGTCTCATTTAATTTATTGGCCCGAAATAATAATTAATTATTGCCAGCTCAGCACCAGTATTAAGAAATGTATATTTTTTGAAGATTTGCTTTCAATACTTATGCATACTAGAATAATTTTCATGTGGTTCAAAAAAGATATCCCGGCTTAGGAAAATAACAAAATTATTATACCATAGAAAAGTATAGTTACCGGAGCTCCACGGGACAAGAATAAGACTCGGTACAGTAATCATCTGGACTCCACACCTGCCATAAAATAATTACTTATTCTAAGGTTTCCCTGTCATCGTGGTACTCATAAAGTTGCTCGCGTGTTTCAGGCAAGTCGGGAGAAGCAGGGCCACGTGGACCACCAGGTCTAGATGGTGCTCCAGGAACTCCTGGTGTACAGGGACCACCTGGGAAGCCGGTTAGTTCTCAAATGATTATACCTATAGAATCTGAGTCTGTATATTGGATTTACACTTGAACTGGATAAATGCTCTTCATAACTCAAGCTATGCATAGCAATGTCGTCTACATAAACTATCTTTATATAGAACAAACTGAGAAAAATATACAGGGTAGTCCAGTTAGTGTCGTCAATATTTTTTTAGAGTCCTCTTACCTGGGGTTATCCTAAAATACCCTATGTATGTTCCGCGATTTTTCTTAGTTTTCGAGTTATAATTTTTTTCATGTATTTTTAATGATTTCTCCCAGCGAGGTTTCAAAAATTCATATCTTTTTTCGTAGTAGGTATTTTGCAGTCTTTTTTTGTAACATAATTGTCTTGAATGTAGTTTTAATAAAAAAATAACTTAGCTTTCTGAAATTACTTAAAGTTACTCAAAAAAGGCTTGAAAGTTGGAACTTTCATTTTTAGTAGAATTTACTCAAACATTCAACTTCAATTTAAAAATACAAAAGGGATTTTCCGTAGCTTCTGGCTAAGTTTAAAAACTCCGCAAGCTTCTCAACTATCAAAAATCATAAGAAAACTAGTAATTAATCAGCCTATTTTTGTTTTAATTGGCCTTCGAAGGCGGATAGGCTAAAATTTATTGAAACACGATTAAAGCATTAAAACTATTTTATCTACTTTTTATCATTGGTATGGTAAATAAAACTTAAAAATGTATTAACAAATTAAATTTAATTGAAATTCCTGTAAAATAACTTTAGCATGTGTAATTTTATAATAATTTCGGTTTCACCACTAAGATTTTAAAGGTGAACAAGAATAAAAATCAAAAAGGCTAGTTGGGAAATTACCTGTTTGTTGATAACAAATAAAAAGCACAAATTACTGAAAACTAACTGACTATTTATAACAGTAAATTTAAAAAAACATAACTTTTTAAGACGTTGTCAATTGTTTTTAGGTTGGAGGAAGGAGTTTTGGACCACCCTGTATGTTTTTATAATATGTTAACTTTTTTCAAATTTGACAAGCCAATAAAGAAATTAGGAAAATTTCAAAAATTATATAAAGGCTCTATTTAAATGATGATCAAAAATTTATCCTCAAAATATACAAATTTGATACCCTAACCTAACCTTTAGGCTACCAATTGTGTTTTAGGTGATCTAGACTATTATTTAAGGATCATTTAAATATTTCCCAAATTAAAACAATGAAGTCAGATTTTTTTATTTATAACAACGATGGTTATTTTTTTGTGAATACGATCAGATATATTTTAATAATAAAGAAAGATAACAATTAATATAGTTCCCCATACATTAACCTTACATTAAGTTATTTGATATGCTATGAAATGAAACAAGGTAAGTATATAATATTTATATTTTCAGGGTGAAGTTGGTCCAAAGGGATCGAAGGGTGAATACGGTGATATGGGATCGCCTGGTATGCTGGGTGCACCAGGTTTGCCCGGGCCGCCAGGATACCCCGGCCTCAAAGGAGACAAAGGCGATAAGGGCGACTCGGTGAGAGCGATCTATCATTTAAAGATTCATATATTAAAATAGTAAAATTACTAAGACCTATGTTTTATTGGTTTTGTTTTATCACCTTTGATATACAGCTACAAGATTCTTCTTTAAACTTTTCTACTTTTATTGTACATATCTAATGAAGAATGTAATATTGAAGATGATTTACTCCCTGAAATGGATAAATAAAATGTGCTTTCATACTATTATTTTTCGTGCCACTGTAACACCTCAATATTTGGCATTCAAAAGTAAATATTCCCTACATTTATTTTTCTAAAAACCGTGGTGGCAATATGATGATATTTTTTTCTGTTCATTGATGAATTTCCCCATATACAAAGAAAACTGACTGAGTTTTTATATTAATATTTCACTCCCAATGTAGCATTGATATTAATTACTTAATATAAAATTATATGAAAATTATTACCAGTAATAAGAACCTGCAGTTCTTATTAAAATTTAAGGTGACCTAGTCGTAAATTTTGTGGAAACATTGCATTGCGTATGTGTAACGTGTCGCTGGTGTGTTCTGTTCTCGGTATCGGTGCGTGGCGGCTGCCGACCAGAAGTACAGGAAGCTGAGGAGAAGACAGGTATCTATCTAACCCTACCTTCCATGACCCTGATAGATTATTACTAAATCCACAAAACAAAGATCGAGATAGCACATTGCTTGCAATAATTACATTACATGATGGGTTTCCTTTGAGTAGTTACTTTATAAATCACTTTCAAAAATAGGTTTATTTCCATGAACTGTTAATCTTTATGCCCACTGTTGAACTTACAGGGAGACGGCACTGGATACGAGCTGTATGGTCATGAGATGGTAAGTAGATGATCTTTTATGCTTTCATAATCTTAAACTCTTGTCATTCATCTACATATATGAGGAAGTATAAAATATCTAAAGAATGATTCAGATCCACCAACCATAAAACTGAGAGAAGAAATATCGAAACCATTTTGAAATTTGCTTTTTTGTTAGACTGTAAAACCAAGTGGTAATTGTTAGAATGCCGCTCTTAAATTCAAAATTGTAACAATCTGATGTTCTTGTTTCTTAGCTGTAAGAAAATAAAAGTTGTATAGAAATGTATATAGTATACCAATATTTTTTTTATTAATATATTACGCAAAGGAAACCGAGATCGATGATTTGATTATATTCACTATCGACTTATATTATTTAAGGCTTCATGAACGTATGCAGAAAATTATATTCATTGCACTCACGCAGGAAAAAAGTTAATGCGGAATGCTTTATTTATATGGATGCGAAAAATCACAGAAAAACTTTTCTGTGTGCGAAATATCCACCAAGTTAGATGTGCGTTGTTGTTGATCATAACAATATCTTTTGATGTAAAAGGCTTGTTTTGATAGACTGGACAAAAAATATTCACTGCAATTGGTACTCCTGCTAAAGTTACTAAGTATATTATCTGCTACTTAGACTGTAACAAAAACAATTTAAGATCATGTAATATTCTTGTAGTGAGCGCCACGTGTAGGTGAGTAAAATACTGCTGGTGTTTTTAATAAAACACGCCGGGAGGTTGTTGAAAGATTAAACTTTTTATTTTCTTAATACAGAGACAATAGACAATTATCAAGAGATGCTAATAGTTGTCAACAGATGGCATTATTAGTATATAAGGAAGAACATTATTTTGATAGTAATTTTAACAGTTTTAAGCTTCAGTAGACATTTTACCACCAGGTGAGCTATATGATTCGTAGAACCCTTAGATTAAAACAAAAGGGGAAGACACGACACTCTCGGCTCAAAAGCAATCCGCTTAAACTGCGGTGCATCACCACAATTCGCTTTCACAATTGGCCATTCAAACACGCTGCGTGTGCACTCAATATAACAACATTGCGTATATTCAGTGTTATACAGATAAAACAATGCCTTCGATACTTTTATAAAGAACACAAATAGATCAAAATCAAATAACTGATGCATCGGCAACACTTTCGTTCGTAACACTGTGAAAACATTTTTTTCTCATAAAATGCGGTTAGTCGTGAATTTTATTCACCATTTTGTTATCAAGAAAAGGACAACAATAGAGCTCAGCTGTACGGACTCGGAAGCGGACTCGCCGTTTCGCTCGCGCTGCCTTGAAGCGTACAGTTCTGTCTCGCTCACTCGATTGAATGTTTATATACAGACGTGTTCGTGTGTGTGAATTGCTTATGTAGTTGAGTCGGATCATATTTTATTTCATGATAGTATGAGTGTACCGTATCTTCCCTTTTTGTTTTAATCTAAGGTTTCTCCCTTTCTAAAACTGTTGAAAACAATATTCTAATTATTTCGAGCGTCGCCATGTTTCGGAAGGCACGTTGAGCTGTTGGTCCTGACTGCATCCACCAATCTGCACTGGACCATGAACCATTCTCCCTATGCCATCCATAGGTCTGTGATCCAGCAGTAGAGAATAATAAGCTGATGATGATATTTCTTATCTAATCTAATAATTACAGAGGCCAAAGCACGAATTTTGACAGCTCCGTAATCGTATCGCATCGTCAAAGTTCATATGAAAACTGAGCAGCGCCTACCAGACGTGAGAACAAACTAGCTTTTTCCATATAAAATTTGACATTATTACAATACTATTTGGAGCTGCCAAAATTTCAACGTTCCAACCAAAGTTCGTTTTCATGCTTTCTCTATTATCTATACTAATATTATAAAGCTGCAGAGTTTGTTTGTTCGTTTGTTTGAACGCGCTAATCTCTGGAACTACTGGTCCGATTTGAATGATTCTTTCAGTGTTGGGTAGTCCATTTATGAGGAAGGCTATATAGGCTATTTTTTTTCAAAATTAGGGATCCGTAATAAAATTGCTATTTTGTAACACAATGTGTAAAATCGAGAACCTATTTTTGCGTGCGCTGCAAAAACTATTGATAATGGAACAAAATGATGTCTACGGGTTTGTAGATCCCATTAAGACCTACAAAAAAGTCCGCGAGAACATATATCTAGCTATCATGGTTTAATCACAATAACCGATTTTGTGTTCAAAATAATTATTAAATCGTCTGAAGAAAAAAAAACTACGTTAAATATGTATCGTAATATTAAAAACACAAACAACCCTTAATTTTCACCCCTCTACCACCCATATTTTTATGGCGATACGAAGTTCGCTGGGTCAGCTAGTAGTTAATATTTTTGTCGGATTTAATTCTTATCAAGTGTTATATAAAGTAAAATGCATCTACTAGTCGACAATTGCATCAGAGGCAATGCAGAAAATATAAAAGTCATTGTGTGTTTCCAGATGATGGGCCCACCGGGGGCGCCGGGACCCGCAGGTCCCCCGGGCGTGGCGGGCCCCCCCGGCATCAAGGGCGACAAGGGCGAGCCCGGCCTTCGAGGCAAGGCTGTACGTATACTTATTACTTACTATAGTAGAGATCGTCTAATCTAAAACGCCCCTCCATTGTCATACTCTTACATGCACAATCAGTGTACCGATGCAATACACTTAAAATAGCTGTAGTCATTAGCCATTCAGTTGATTCAGCCGCCCACCGGCTAGACACGAACGTGGCAGTATGCTTCGATCACTCAAAAAAGTACACAATTTTATGGTTTTTACATACGATACGCGTTCAATTTTAGATAAGGCGATCTCTACCACAAAGTTTATAACTGCGCTGCGTCCTTATAGAGAGTCAGCTCAGAACAAAGGTATTTCTGTCACGCACATCGCACACATTGACGTTGCGGTTACAGGTTTTCACACACAGTTGCAAGCGGTTTTTTTGCGACTAGTGATATGGGTCGTCACAATCAACAGCGGTAGTTATTTTTTATATTGGTGGAATCCGTCCTTTCAGCTGCTTTCTATTTTATGATAGTATGGACATACTAAAATTGAAAGTTTGAATACTTGTTGTCACCGCCTAACTGTGGTCACAACTCCAACGCGTACAAAGAAATTTGCTAACCCATTTCTTTGTCGCACTATCCGTAAATGGAACAAATATCGTACAAGTAGCGTACAAAGTTTGAGACTAAATCGAACAAAATATGTCGAAATAATAACTTTTTGTGTATGGAGAGGAGACCATCCTGGTTTCTTAACTTAATTTTTATTGTGTCACGCATAGCTGTTTTCAATTTTGAAAAATTTTAACTAGGATTCTAAGATATAATAATATAATTATAAGATAGTTGAAATTTGTTTGTATAGTAATGAAAATATTTTTTTACATTCTAGGGTGAACGAGGCGAAAAAGGAGACGCGGGTCCAATGGGATTACCGGTAAATTATTTCTTTATATATTTAGGTTCATCCAGCACAAAAATCAACCTAATACCAGAATCTTTTAAAGCTAAAACTACAAGTAATAAGATAAGCTTATGACCTACTATTATAAAAAAAATCTTAACATGCTATAATTAAATAATAACTGACTAATCGCTGTTTTAGTATAAAGTTGCTTCTAGTTAATTTTCAAGTTGACATAGATACCATTAAAGCCATTGAGCAATTTTACTCAACCTCTGAATAGGGGGATTTGTGCCTCGAACTGACTTATGGAGGGTAACTATTACATACTCTTATTGCCATATTGTAAATGATAATGTTACTTAAAAACTACCTCCTATTGTCTACCATAATAACTATTGTTTACATAAAATAAAATGTTTTTTCTAACAGAAAATATTTTCATACAAATTGTCAAAACTCAAATAATCTTGTTTCCACAGGGTCCAGTTGGAATGCCCGGCGAGGCGGGGCGGCCGGGGGAAAGCGGCCCCAGAGTAAGCCCTTTACATTCCGGTAGATAAACATCTCAATTTCACTACTACACTAACATGGTTGAGGTGCTATTGCAGTAGTTTAAGAGTGCAGGCTTACAAGCAGTGAACAGAGCTTACAAATCTCCGAAATTTAAGCAAATCAATTGAAAGATGATATTATACAAGTACCTAAATTTTAATAACGGCCTCATAGTAGGCCTGTCTTTACATTCCGGTAGATAAACATACCACGACTTCGTAGTTCTTAGTAGCTGCTTTAAAGTACACGCAGCGGACAGAGCTTCTAAATGTCCTAAATCAATTCAAAGATTATTACGAGTATTATTATAATATTAGATATAGTTTAGCAAGTTTCCGGAAGCGATTCTGGCGACTGGAGACACATTCCATGATGACATGCAATTATTATATTGTCCTTGAAACAATACTCCATCTAGATGCAACTATCCAGATTCCAATTTCAAGGTTTCAGATTTGGATAGTGTAATGCTTCTACTACCATTTCATATCAAAGACTTACAAGTAATGATATTTCATCTCTCGATCCACATTACAACAATGTCGAAATCAATAAAAAGGCAACTATAGTGTAGGGTAGGTTAAGGAAAATTAATTAAGTACTAGAAATTATGAAGGGGCAACTATAGAAGAACTTTTATTTGGCAGCCGACCAGAGCTGCCAAATATAAGTTCTTCTAGTAGTACTAAAACTATTTGATAACTTGCTACTAATTGCGCAAAGAGAATAGGCTGAGTATTCCTAAGCCAGCTGTCAGATAAATTCCAACACGTACTACTGTTGCTCTATCGCTTCATCTCTTAAACATTTATCGCGTTCACTACGCAGATAGTTTAGATTTGGAAGCTTTTATCGGCTGCGTAGAACTTAAAACTCTCCCTTTGAACTACACTAATACTACTGTTAGCTCGCAACTAACGTTTGCTAATACATGGTGTAGGTACTACAGGAGAACCGCTGACCGCCAGACTTCGCGTTCGCATATGCCTCCATAATGGGAGCTCCAATACTAAATAGATCTTGACGCTTCAATCGGCTGCATAGTACTCAAACTAATTAAACTAACTGATAGCTTGCTCCTAACTCTTACTCGTGATGTGGGTACTGCAGGAGAATTGCTGGCCGCGACTTCGCGTTCACGTAGTGGCTTTTTATGGGAAAAAATCTAAGAACTAACGAAGCGAGTTTCATTAATTTAGTGGAGTACAACTAGATAAATAATTTTGGCAGCTCTATTTGCTTGCGTTGTTTATAAACTAACTGATAGCTCGCAACTAATCCTTGCTAACACGTGCTATGGGTACTACAGGAGAACCGCTGGCCACCGGACTTTGCGTTTAATAGATTTGGAAGCTCTTTTCGCCTGCGTAGAACTTAAACTCCCCCTTCTAACTACGCTAATACTACTGATAGCTCCCAACTAACCCTTGCTAACGCGTGGTGTGGGTACTACAGGAGAATCGCTGGCCGCCGGACTTCGCGTTCACGTAGTCGCCACGACGTCCGAGGCCCTTCACTAACCCGCCCGCCGCTAACACACGCCGCGCCCGCACGCATCCTGCCAACCTTTAGTGTTTAAGTGTTGAACGAATGTATAAATAGAATATAGTGTCGCATTGTCTTAATATTTTGTGGTCCAATATTATGAACTATAATTGCTTGAGCTTAACTCTCTTCTGTAGGAGAGAATTAAGAAACTGTCGAAGTATAATGCAAGCGATTTTGGTTAATGTAGTGGACCACAAAATTCTTATACTGTGCTTATTTTTGTCCTTAATTTGGATTCGGCAACTCGTTTTTGTCTTTACTTCGTTATTTACTTTGTCGCATTAACTGTTTGAGTATAAAACGTGAAATCGGTGATTGTCATAAAATAAAAGTCATTTAACTTAATACCCTAAGTTATAGTGCAGCTACAATCCTAACTATAAAAAGAATAATTCAAACTTATTTCTAAGCCGAAAATTGTATCATGAAAATGCAGTAGATAGTAATGCCCAGTGAATAGAATGTCATCTACATAGAAGAAGCCCAACTATTTGTTGTGTAAAATATTTATTCGGCTATTTGTTAAATTAAAGCGTATATTAAAACAAACAACAATGTGAGATTTAAAAATATTTTCCAATGAAGAACTGTAGGAAACCATCTTTGTTGTGCAACTATGGTTACATAAAAATTGCTTTCTTCATATGTAGGTAGGTCATTGGTTCAGACTTCATTATATCGTTTAGAGAATCCAGAATCGACACCATTTAGAAGGAAAGTCCCATAATCTGCTAGATCATCTAGCTACGCACTAAAGTGGAGAAGTAAACTGGTAAATATTTTTAAGTATTGCATTCGCATTTTCAAAAACTTCTGGCAAGTTACACCTGTCTGGTTTGTTAATATTTGTTTGATATTATTTGAAAATTAACGCTAGTTTTGAAGCGTATAAAAACACATTTGGGTTGTAAAGCAAAAGCAAAAAGTGCTTTGTAGTCTGCGGGTAATTTTTTTTTTCTTTCAATACTCGTAATTCGCAAATGTACGTTAATAATGTATAAATATGTAATATGATACAATACGTAATGTAATTAAGTATGTCTGTACATTATAGAAGTTTATAAGGAACCGAATATCAACGATCAGAGTTACTATTTTTAAACATGATTATTTGTATATTTGGCAAAGGAAACTTAAACAATTAAAATTTATAGACCGGGTGCCAACTACTAGTAAACCAAAACTTGTAAGTATTTTTTAACTAAAACGAGTTAAGAGTGTATGTATTTAGAAACAAAAAAAAATAAGTTTAGGTGTAAGTAAAACTTTATAAGGCGTACCTAAGTATGTGATATGCGTTCGCGTTTTTAGCTTATAAAGTTATTATCGTCATTTACTTTTATAAAATAAATCTTTCATCATATCTCTTTATAATGTGCATAATATTACTCGTTCTATTTCTAAGTATCAAAACTCAAATTGCTGTAAATATTTTTTCTTAAATTGGAACCTGTTTATATATTATCATTATTGTATTGTCTTTGTATCGTTTATAAATTGTATTGTACGTATTCAAATATCTTTAAGGCTATTAACGGAGTCTACACAGGCGATATCTTTTTGAGCACCTTCAAGAATTAAGAGAATACTGAGCAAAATATATCGCCTGTGGTCCTCCAGGCTACGCCATCTTCCCAAATTTTTCCCGCGCTCAACTTCTGACAATTTTAGTATGCACTCCTATTTTCCACTTATATAAATCAACAAACGTCACTTTTTTGATGGTGTCCGTATTGTGTGGTAAATGTAAATATTTTTCTAGTGCAAAATTTGTCATCTATATACTTGGTTAATACTTAAATTAGTCATCCACGTTAAATGGCGAAAATGTTAAGCCAAACCGATATACTTGTTTGACGTTGAATCAAAATTAAAAGAGTTTTAGTTGTGAGCGGGATGGATATTGGAAATGTGCATGCCCGCGCTCGGTGTTGCCGTCCTTTGTTAAGCCTCGTGTTTAGGGACATTAAAATTTACTTGAGGTAGTTCGATTTCTATACCAAACCTTGTTCGAGATTCTGAAGTTACGTACTTCATTATGATATTAAATAATAAAATTTCAAGAATTCATTTACACAAGTGTAATTATAAAAAAAAAACAGTTGAATTATTGAGCAGACTCTAAAGTCTTACTGAGTAATGGCATTTTCGATACATATGAAAAATTCAATGAATCATGTCGGTTATGCCAGCTTGAAGTCGCAATCTCTAAGGCAACTGATGTTATTTGTACAGTCCCCACCGTGGCGCTCGTCCTAATGTTGACTCGTGTGTAATCTATATCCTCAATTTTATCATTACCAACTTTCTCTACGTGTATTATATTAATATAATGTAATTTTATCGTCATCGATTTTCTATTCTTAACATTTTTCCTATTTGTCTAGGTACTGAAGACTTAATCGTTCAGTGAATGATGAAGTACTTTAATGTCATCTTTAAGAATTCTTTGAATATGTTAAGTCAAATTCAGTTTCTAGACAATCGAGGGAAGTTTCAAGTTAAACACGAATGTACAAATATTATTAATCCCTAAAATAAGTTTTAGCAAGTAAGCTATTATTATTATCTAAAATACCATACTAACAATACAAGCTACTTAAAACATCGTTCTTTAATATCATTTTTCCAATTGTTTCTGTATTTTATTTAACTTATTACTAAATTATGTGTTATATAAAATTGCTTAAATTTTTGTCATGCAGAGAACCGACTAAATAATGCCGACGGCATTTGGCCTATACATGAAATATCTACCAATCTGCAATTTATAATATAGCGGAGACCTTTATTGTATTGCTATAAACCTTCTATGACGACGTACCAAAGTCCCTTCTTATTATATAATATTATAATCTAAGCGTAATTTTAAGGTTTAGTTTTTTTATGAGAATCGAAAGTTGTCATTTGTACCATACGTCACGAGAGCATAAAATATTGTTGTTTACAAATTATTTTGAAGGAAAATAAATATTTGCATGCTGTGCACATTGATCTTTCCTTTCTCTCTTCTCTCTACTTCTTGAACTATTCTTAACTGATAATATTATGTAAACAAAGAATGGTGAATCAGTGAAAATGCATGGGCCAGCGTTATATATATAACATAACATCATTGTATGATGGTTGTTGAATGACAAAGATATATCGCAAAAGATTTTTGATGCACGTAAAAATTAGAATGCGTCCCTTGTGCAAAGTACTTACTTGAGGAGTCCCGCTGACCCATGCGTTGTTCCAGGGCCCGCCGGGACTCGACGGAATGAAGGTGAGACGCCACAACTACCTAGCGTCGCTCTTCTCGCAGTCCACACACTCACTGCCACTAACATTATCTTAAAAAGCTACTCTGAGGACCATACTATTAAACTTTTATACATTCGTTACTTTCATCCCACTTTGACCGCTGCTTTGTGATCGCGCCTAAAATTCAAGGTAAAACTCCTAAGCTCTCGAATAAGTTCCTGAGCAATAAAAAACTAACCACCGAATTCGAATTCGAACAACAAACCGTACAAATCATGAAATTAAAGTCTTGTAATATTACAACACGTCCTAGACGCAGCTCCAAACTGACTCCAGAACTTTTTCGATATTTTAACAGTTCCTAAACAACACTTTGAGCACTCGCACACATTTGATTGGCTGAATTAATGTAGATTGAACTAACATTTGGTGTGGTGCAACAGGGGGCGCAAGGCGAGCCGGGCTCCAAGGGCGAACGAGGGGACCCTGGACTGCCCGTACGTCATACGAAATCTCGAGCGGCTCAGCATCACGCGCTTGACACGCTAAGGGTTACCATGATCAATCAAAAAGGCCTGTTATTAGGATTTATACTTGATATTTTATCAATAACGGATCGGTGAAGGTGTCTAATATTAAAATTCCCTAACAAATCATTGGCTCTCGTTAAAATATTTATAACTATGCTTTCCATTCGTTAGTTCAGATGCTTTATTGGCTTACAATCAGTTGGTAACCCAAAAGGTAGTCAATGCACGCGATGCAGCGCTCCCTTTATCGGTATCTTTATGCAGAAATTCTTTCTAAAAAACTAATACACTGCTGGCAAAATTTCAGGGAACTGATGGGATTCCTGGACAAGAGGTTAGTTATCAGATTCTAACATAGTAGAAATCGGTGAACCTTGATCAAATTATTCACGCGTACTAACATGATGGTTTTCGCTCGATAGGGTCCAAAGGGTGACAAGGGATATAAAGGAGAACCAGTAAGTCATACCCCGTGTAAATGCTTCACCTTCCTTCAACGCTTAATTTTGCATCCTGTGTACAGAATTATCGCATGTGTAACTAACTTTAATTGTAACCTTGTTTAATGGTTCTGTGATATTCGTATTATTATATCTACACTTAAGAATTACCAATCAAATACAGCAATAATAGTATCGAAATCAATCATTATAAAAATAAAATAATCAGAAATGACTCTATCCATGCCTATCAGGACCTTATTTCTTTTCCAGCTTCTAAAGGTTCTGAAATTGCAGAAGTCGAATCAGTTGAGATTATGTTTTCGTTTGTAACAAAGATTGATAATTTCCTTGTACGAAATAGGGTCCAGTGGGCAAACGTGGGCGCAAGGGCGACAAAGGCGACAAGGGAGAACAGGGAGTGCCGGGCTTGGACGCGCCATGCCCGTTGGGCCCCGACGGACTGCCGCTACCAGGCTGCGGATGGCGCCCTACAAAAGTGAGACTTCTTAATAAATAAAATTTCATTGACTCCGTGTTTAATCAAAAGCAAAAGTAAATGTCAAAGCAATATTTCCAGCAACATGTTATCTATTGTAACATTTTCAAAGTAAATAATTATGAAAATATAAAACTAGAAAATGTTGCATTCCTACATGACTTACTAAACGCTAACTGAATAAATTATTTTGGTCAATACAAATCATCTAATCGCACTAACGACGCTAGCTTCAGAATAATGTGAAAATTGCGGTCCAAGAACTAATACTTTAACAAGTTGTGGTTTTGCTTGAGTATAACATGGTGTTGGTGTGCCTGGTGGTCAGGAGTCAGCGGCAGCAGCCCCAACTCGTGAAGAGACCGGCATGGTGGGAGGGGAAGGGTCTGAAGAAGAAGAGCCAGAAGGGGAGGAATACGAAGGGAGAGAGGATGAGCTGGACCCACCCAGCTACGACGATTACACAGACAACGCTCATCTCGCACTACACCGCGACTAATGCACGCTCTTTACTTCGCTTGCTCGATTTCTTTGTTTCTCTTATCCGTTTGTCCTTTTTCAATTTATTTGATTGATTTCTTCGATAAAATAGGTACTGATTCTGTATAATATTTTTTTTACAAACATCTCTTATCCCATAGCTATTTTCTTTGGAGATTACAATTTCGAATGACGACCTAAAATAAGTGAAACTAGAAAGTAAAGAACAACTTTTCTAGTTTTTAAGAAGTCTCAAAATTTAGTTCAAGTACGCTATAATTAGTCTCATGTATTTACTGTTTGACCATGGATTTAGTGTTTTGTAGCAAAAAAACACAACAAAGTCCTTTATTAGAACAAACTGCCAAATATTATTTTAATTAAGTACTTGAATTGTGGGTAGTAATTTTTAAAGCTTCTTTTACAGGTGCTTTATGATTATCTTTCTTTTATACTTCTTCATTTTCATTTTTAACCTGGTGTAGTGGCTAGCTGGAAACTCTCATTTGGAATAGTAAGTAGAATACTTTAGAAAGATTAATAACTAATAATTTTTCAATCAACAACTATGACTAATCAAAATTAGTGCGGTTGGGCATATTTTAATAGCGTGATCGAATTTGCCTGGTATATGTAAGCAATACATTCTTGCAAGCAATTTTTTATTTAAGTATTTTTGTATGATTATTCACAAATAAAATAACTAATACTTACCTATATCCATTTGAAGAGCTCGATGGCGCATTGGCGTGCAATAGGGATGATGACGGGGTAAATTAAACAAAATCCCAATTAGTCGTCTGGTAGATTATGAAAAAAAGCCTTTTGTCCATCAAAAAATTAGACGTCAAAGGGGGTTGTACCATGATGTGACGTCATGCGGCATTTCAAATCAATATATCCCTGTAATATTTTGATTATGTGAATTACTTAAGAAATATTACATGCCCCATGTCCCATACTTTTAGATCATCGACCTGATAGACGAAGGAAAACAAAATTAATCGTTAACGTTATCGTGGAAGATAGCAAGTTTCTCAATTTTCTGTCCTTTGACACCTACCATATCGTATAAGCCATACTTTCTTTGAGCAAAATATTAGATTGCATATTTTTATGATTATTTATGAATGAAACAAAAACTTCCATATTTTTTTATTTTTTAGACTTAAGCTCCTATTGTCATTAAAATAGCGATGATGATGATACGTGTTTCCTACATAGTTTTACTTATATATGTATTATACCTTTTGCAGGAGGCGTTTCTCCAGTGGGTGCGACGACGGTTAGACGTCGACAATGATCTACCAGCGCTATGATCACGGTACCCACAGACGGAATCTAATAACTACAAAAAATATGGCAAGTGGTGTTTCTGAAGTTAGCAACGAGCTCAACTACGCGCAAGTTCTATTCAGTGTAAACCCGTCGTTTCTGCGTCACCGCCACTTGTGCTGACTTCATGCTATTTAATTTGAACCATTTTATCTATTATGTTTATTTACAATGTTACGATGACGTCATAGTCGACAGCATCATCTTCAAAGTCATCTTCTTTTGTACACTCGCACCCATAAATGCAATCACTTATGTTAATAACCTCTGTAATATTTTCAATGGAAGCGTAATTGTGGTGAAAACCAGAATCTACATTTTCGTCTTACTACGTCTGTGTCTACATCAATGCGTTTTATACTGACGATGTATTCATATCTATGAAAAACTAGGTTATTTTAATTAAATTTGATATTTTCTTTATTTCTTAATTATTGCAAAAACAAACCACCGATTTAGCTTTTCTAAATTAATTTTTTTTTGTACGTTTTTCGTTTTTCTGAAATATTGTGTTATCAAAAGTAGTTATTTGATATAAACTACGGATAATAGACACCTCAAAAGTTATAGATCCATAACGTATATGTTTAAATAATAGAGTAATAACCCAACTACTCAGTTACTCTTACATTAAAATTCGTTCATAAAAAGGTATTCGCATTTAATAATCGTGATATTTTGTCAATAATTTTCCATTCTTTTTACTAAGTTTAGCGATTTTTAAGGTGTTCATAATTTATTTTTTCATTCATTTAGGTTATTTTTCACTGGATTTATAGCTTTTCATGCAGTTAATATTCTCTGTATAGTTTGTGACTTAAGTTAAATTAACATAATTGAGTCAATAAAATATAATTAACTACGCTTTTATGCTGCAGAAAAAATAAGTAGACAATTTAATGTCTTTGGTATCAGTAAGAAAAATTGTTGTGTTCATATTACGACATGGATTTTTTATTTTATTTTATTCTGACTTGATATGATTTCTAATTTTATTTTTAAGCTTTTGTACATATTGATGTAACGTAAAATATAAATAAATAACTTGTAATCATGGGCCGTACCATTAATATTTTTATTGACTTCAAACAAAAAATTATGTCGTCATTTATGCATGTTTCTTTTATTCTTAAGAGCAGAGTGGGATGCTATTCTACACGCGAGGTTATAGATGTCAAATTCTAACAAAAGAAATTTAAATCTAAAGTTAATATTACTAGGAAAAAATTCACTCGGTCCAGGTTTCAACCCTGCCCGGACAACGGAAAATGCAGGTTCGAATCCCGTCTGAAACCTGGTCCATTAATCTTAAGATTTGAACATCTAGCAGTTAGGTAAATAACATCGTTGAAATGCTTAAAAATAAAAATATACTTAATAAAATAAATTTCATCGCGAATAAAGTTCATGGTAGCGAATGTGAAATTATATTCAGTAACGATCGTATCAGACCCCAGCGACGGAAATTTAGACCATTTATGTCTTGTTTTAAACTTTCATGGTCACTAACGTTATAGCTATTAACGGGATTGTTACCATGTACCTTGTTTTTTATGAGTCTCCGATATTTCGTGATCATGGCGCTTGCAACAGTGCCGAAACATCGGAGACTCATAAAAAACAAGGTACATGGTAACAATTCCGTTAATAGCTATAACATCTATGTATATGTCTGTTGGTAGTCTGGTGTTGTCTGGTTAAACGATAGGCTAAGTATATATCTAACGTCTAGCCAGACAGCACAATATTTAAACCCTCCATTTTCTGATAACCCTACGCAGATTTATAATATTTTTACTTGGGATTTAAAATACTCAGATTCACAAATATAAATAAAATTATACTAGAAAAGGATAAAACTGTACTTCCAGGGCCCAAGAGGTGATACTTGATTTTTTTTTTGTAGAAAAGGTTTCTTTTAATAGAGTTTTTTACTGGCGCAACACATATGCAAAGCCCAACAATAATATTTATGGTCACAACACTAACCTAACCTAACCTAGTTTGAAGTATCACCGCTTGGGCCGGTACGCACAAATACAGTTTAACCTAGAAAAGTTTACACTCGGTCCAAATCTACGCAGAGTTTCATTACTATGTTGAATATTATGAAGTTTAATAAGGCCTTTAGGGAAATTGTGAAGGTGTAATTTATTTATTTTTGATGTGGCAATTGTCAAGTTGTAAATATTTTCAGTAAATATATTAAAATATAAACTTTTAGTACATAAAAATAATATGCAGTGGCCAGTTTCGGCTTCCGGGCATTTAAAGGGTGTTATAATGTATTACTTTACAACCTACCTAATAATATAAATTTGTGACTAAACTGCATGGTATATTATAAAATACCTACATGCTAAATGCACTATTTTGTCAGCCATTTAAAAGGTCATTTAGTTATGTAGACTAAGTCACCTCAAGTATGAGACTTAATTTACAAAACTTGCTTCTCATGTTCCGCCCAGCTAATGCATCATCCATCATTTCGATTCATATTACTGGATCTCAAATTAATGTTTCTGAGGAAGATTACGCGATCTTAACAATATTATCAGCCTTTCTATATCTGAAGCCGCCGCTGCACTGCCAAAGAGGACAGAAAGGTTTATATTCACAGATGCAAACAAAATAGTATTGTATTTGTATTATAGTTAGGCATAAGTAGATACTTACATTAATTTTCTATTTTTCTTTGAATATCAACCTTTCTGTCTTCATAATAAATTAATACTGATAGGAATTTATATTGTTGGCATAAAACATAAATTTGAAAGTACCTACTTTATATAATATTTGTAAATAAATCACTAACGTTGTTATTTTTTTCTTTTCTTTATTCATCTACCAACCCTGAACCTGTATATGCATGCATACATTAGACAATACCACTTAGACATGTTATTAACCTCATGGTAAGAACATGTATACCCTATTCAACTTGCTCTGTAATCTTGTAACCAGACTGTTTATAAATTTTCACATTTCAACGTTAACAATTTGCTTTACCTCTAGATACTCTTCAATCAAAGTTTGGAAATAGCTACAGTTTAAGGTCTTTTTAATCACACTTTCATTTATTTTATATGCGTATAAAATTCGACCTATAGAGAAACTTTTTTATGGTTTCCTTTTGTCTCAGAGCAAGTTGAATAGAGTATAATAAATTTACATTGGGTAATCAAATTCCCTTTAAAAAATGCGGTTATTAATAGCTTGTAAAAAAGGACCAAGTATTGAGCCCTAGGGAACTCTTATTTGACCAGTAAACCAGGTGATCTTTTGCCATTGATGTCAACTCTCTGAACTCTATCAGTCAAATAAGATATAATAAAGTCCAGGGTGGTACCTACCACTTAACCCATAGTAGTGAATTTTCCTGATTAATATTTCATGAAAAACGCAATCGAAAGCTTTGCATAAATCGCAATTCATATTGCGAATTCTCCTATGTATTAAAGATTTCTTGCGTGAGCTCAACACCGGGTTCGGGATTTTTTGATTTTGGTCTAGCATAATTTTTCAAAGTTTTTCACATCGGATCCACCCGTGAAAATGTTACCCCAATCTAGGGGATACATTAGTACTGCAGAAATCCCGATGTCTCCCTTAAGTTATCAGGGGAAACAACAGTCCGAAATCGATTTGAAAGCATCGAAACGTTATCAAAAATGCACAACTACTACTTGTTACGGCAGTAATAATAATTAGGTACTACTTTCTTATATACCTTGCCATAAGGTAAAGAAATACATTATACTGTACAATGTATGGGAGTACCTGTACCTATATTTTTTTTATTTTAAGTTGACTCAAATAAAGTTATGATTTTAAACTGTGATTAATGGTTGGTTTGTAAGTAATAAAATAGTTTGAATAAGACTTTGTTTTCTTTTTTTTACAAGTTGCTAATTTAGGAACACCTAGTTAATAACATAAAGAAACCCTTGAAAACTTATTCTACCAGTACGGATCATATTATAAGGAATAGAAAGAAAGTTCCTTAAATCCCAAACGGTAGTGATAAAAGAAAAAAAACTCCAAGTTTCCCTTCTAGAGGAGATATGTCAGTAGGTATATATGGAACAGGGGGAAATAAACGTCAGTATTTTTTACTGACAGACATTCTTAATATATTTTTTTTTTAAAAAAACCTCTGTATTTCTTGTAGGTTTAGCTTAATGCTTTTCTAACTAGGTCGAAACTGTTCTTTGTTAAGATAACATAATGCAACTGACATCAATGCCACGAATCCATTCTTGCGGAGGCCGGAATACAGAAACAAAACATAACCGGTATTATAATTTTTATTATTTTTAAAGCATGTAACTGCTTGATGTTTAAATCTAAAGAAAATATAACTAGAAAAAAATTCCACGCGGACCAGGCAGCAGACGGGACTCGAACCCGCACCCTTCGCAATCCGGGCGAATGCACTGACCAATTATGCTACCGCGGCCCTCACGGACCGCGTCGAAATTCTTTCTAGCTATTCTTAAGCTGCAAGGCAGCGCCATCTCTTCGCATTATAGGTAAACCCACAATGTCAAATGAATACTTTTACAAGTATTAAACATTTGAAAGAAGAAATAGCAATTATAGTTATAATTTTTATTATTTTTAAAGCATGTAACTGCTTGATGTTTAAATCTAAAGAAAATATAACTAGAAAAAAATTCCACGCGGACCAGGCAGCAGACGGGACTCGAACCCGCACCCTTCGCAATCCGGGCGAATGCACTGACCAATTATGCTACCGCGGCCCTCACGGACCGCGTCGAAATTCTTTCTAGCTATTCTTAAGCTGCAAGGCAGCGCCATCTCTTCGCATTATAGGTAAACCCACAATGTCAAATGAATACTTTTACAAGTATTAAACATTTGAAAGAAGAAATAGCAATTATAGTTATAATTTTCAGGTCAGTTTCATTGGTCAGTGCATTCGCCCGGATTGCGAAGGGTGCGGGTTCGAGTCCCGTCTGCT